CATTTATTTCATCAACACTTTCCTCGCTTTTGGTAAAAAGTAGATCCAGACAGCTAGATGTCATAGGTAATGAGTCATAGGTAATGAGTAGCAAGTGTTTTTCTTCTCAGGCTTGGCAACCTCTAAACGGCGAATTATCCTTTTGTTTCGTGGCTGGAGTAGCTGGTTACAATAGTGGGCTAAAGAGTGCTGTTTAATTTGTACCCTGAAACATTGATTCTGTCCCCAATAAGTGTGTGTACGAAATGCATCCCTGAAGTATTAACATAGTCTGCTTTCTAACCTCGAAAAGTCAAATCACTGGGGTTCTTCAACTTTTTAGGAGCTTGTCACCGATCTGAATGGGGACCTTAGTGGTCACTTCCGCGATCTTTGCGTCCTTCTAACCGAGGCACCGATGTATCTGATGGCAAAATCCCTCTACTACGCCATGAAGGGCTGTGGCACCAACGAAAACACCATCATTGAGATCATCGTCGGCTGCACTAGCGATGAATTGAAGAAGGTCAAGGAGGCCTACAACTTTGGTAAGATCCACCACCTAACTGTTGCATTGCTGAGAGCCTCTTTTAACAGAAGAAGCAATAAACCTGTCCTGTCAGTTATCCAAATACTATCTTGCTACTGATTGCTTCTCGGTAGCTTGTTAATAGTGCGCATTAATTCAACCCAAATAGTCATAGCATAGCAACGTTCGTATCGAGCCTGAAAGAGTTCGTTACGACGGAAATCCACCACGTTCCCCTGTGACCTTTAAAAGGGCAAGGAAAAAAGTTAATTCAGATGGTATCCCAAGGTTACAGCATGTTATATATAATAAAACCGAAGTTAGCGTTATAAACGAAAGCATAGTTTCATAAAAATAATATTTCATGAGAAAGAAATGAACTATCTGTTTACGTTAATTAATTGGCATCAAATTTATCTGACTTTTTCTCCTCTCTTTTAGTTCTCCGGGACAAAGGCATCAAAGGTAAGACTGGTTTGTAGAATGTGCAATTAACTCATGTTATTATTAAAAGTGTGCTTATCAGCAATGAGGGCGATTAAGTGGGCGCTATTTCTGCCCCTTCGTTCCCATATACTTCAGCTGGATTGGTGCATTACTCAAAGAAAGTGGATTAGTAAATTAAGCGGGTTTGAAACATTGTTGTCATTTTGCTCTTCCCGTGAATTTGTCAACAGTTTACCCGCCTCCGTACTTCCCTACACAAAAAGATGATTCAAACTTTTTCTTCCAATTCATCTGAATTAACTTCATGATACAATCAATTAACTCAAAGTTTGAGAATGATCAGGCTTCTGCTGTAGGGTTGGGAATGTAGGTGGCGGAATGGAGAGTGCGGTCGATAGCTCCGCGCAATTTTCTTGCTCTAAACTATCTGATGCGCGTGAATCTATCATTATGTTCTTCAAACCGTGTGGTTTAGTGAGTTGCCGACTGGCGGGGCTAACTCGAAGCACACAGCCAGCTCAGTGGGGATTAAAGTAGAATGACTGAATGGCGGACTGGGCGTCAGGCTGCGATGGCCACCTGTGAATGAAGCCTTTATGGCACTGCGAGTTACGTGGGTTGGCTCCCGCCGCGCCAGCCACCTACGCACTCTCCAACTTCCGGCCCTACTTGACTTCACATAACTGCGTACTTATTTTTTAGTAGTAGCATGTTTCGTTTACCACTTTGGCAATGTCTATGTTTCTCACCACAAAGGTACGACACAGTGCATTCATTTATCTATCTGCACATTACATCGCATATGTGTTTCGAGACACAATGTTGGCTCTTCCTTCGTAGCCAGTTTATTCATTTTACTTTTGCTCTACCAGATCCGAGCCGTTCGCTGGAGAGCGACATTCGCGCCGAGACCAAGGGCTACTTTGGCAAGGCTCTTCTTAAGATCCTGCAGGCCGACACAAAAGAACCATCGGCCCAACAACTGGAGAACCTGAAGCGCCAAGGCCCGGACGCAATAGTGAATAAGATAGAAGTGCAAGATGTTGTTAGTAAACTCACCAAGCTTGAGGCTAAGTAAGTTAAACGGTGCGGGTTTTCGAAGCCTTCTTTGGCAATCACAATTACTTCTACTGTTTCTGATGCTGCCGATTCAATTTGTAGTTAAAACAGCCGTACAATCAGTAACTAATAACTCAGGATAACTTCACCGAAATTTTAAAACGTGCATTTTAGATGTGCAACGATGACGTAATTGCGGTTGTAGGATCGATCGGATTTCTCTGTGCATAATCGCATAAACTTTTGGGCACTTCAGTTAACCGACTTTTGAAGGAATTTTAAATGGTTACATGCAGTCTAACTATGTCATATGCTTCCTTTTTAGTGACTTTGTATGCACTGAAAACGTCAAACATATGCTTTAGAAAAATAGCACTAGAATAGGCTTTCAGGTACTTGCTTGGTAGAAAAAAACCTCGGTCTTTCCTTAAGTGAGTGACCCAAACTGTCTTTCAGCTTGAAAAAAAACCTTCTTATGAGATTTGAATGACCTTGAGATACCCATTTAAGTGAAATTCCATCCTTCTTGTGCATACAACATACTGCATCCACAACAACCTTTTCTGGCCTATCTGTCTTGTTCTCCTTATGGCAGAGGGAAATGTATGTTTTTCTTAGATTAAAAACAAACTATATCTAGACCTGCAACCCTTACCGCAAATGGGGCTCAAATTATTTGCGAATGTGGAAATGTGTGACTTCCTTTTCCTATAAGATATAATAATATTTACAAGTGTATCGGAAATCAGTGGAATCGGTAAATAACACTACTACTAAAGATTTAATACCCAGCGTGGCTTTTAAATGCACCGGAGAATACTTGTATTCTAAAGCCAACCTCTTGGCATGTCTGAAGTATCATAGAGTTACTCTGTAAAAATAGTAAATATTATAACCACTTTTAAGTAGTTCGTGTTGATCGGGAACGCCTTTAATATTTTCAGTCGATATTTCATGAGAAGGGTCGTTGAATGTAAAGAAGTTACCTCATAGCCTGTCGCTGTGGTGATATTGTCACCCTATGTATGATCAACCCTTTTACATAGACGCGACCAAAAAAACACAAATGATTCCATCATTTATACACTTAAAGAACTAATAATTTAACATTTTGGCAACAAGCCGAAAGTGCTTCGGTGTTGTAAACTGAAAAAAATGAAAGACAGGAATTAAGTTTTGATGTACGACCTAATTCTTATATGCAGCTGAAATAGTTGCCTTACTGAAAAACACATTCAGCATTTGAAATTCATGGTTAAATCTAAAAGCCACATTCGATCCCCTCATATCGAGGGTAACAATAATCACGAAAGGTAAATACAGCGTTTTCTTCGTTGCTTTTGTCGGCGCTTTTCACAGGAAACCTTGTATCATTAAGGTTATTGCAAACGTCTCACTTGGATATTATTCTAATGAGCTGCGTTTCTCTTAAATTATAGAAAGGCTGGCGCCAATGATAAAATCCTTATGGATCTTCTGACAAACAAGAATATCTGGGACCTGGCTGCCATCGCCAAAGGCTACGAAAAGGTAAAGTGTGTGGTCTCTTCTTGACGCAGGCTTAGATTATGAGTTTAAATAAAACGCACTAATAACAGATGTAATGTGGGTTTCGCCGATGTTACTCCATAGAGATTGCAGTTACAGAAACACTCAAATTTTAAGTAATTCTGGTCAGTTTCTAAATACTCAGTTGACGAGTCAAGTTCTGCAATGCCGAAGAAACGGCTTTTCACACGAAAGTGCTACCAATTGGATCAAAGAGCCCTTTTTTCTAGATGTTATGTACGATCTATTCTTGATCCAACTTGAGGTTTCGACCTATCCGAATATTTGTATAGAATAGCCAAGATAAAGCGTCATGACTGTTGCACTGTCTTCTCTTATCCGTCTTTTCTAGGCCGCTGGGAAAACCCTGTCGAAATTCATTGAAGAACAGGCTGATGGAGACTTCGAAGCTCTTCTCCAGGCCATGAGTAAGTAGGACCCTGGTAATTTTTAAATATGTACATCACACTATCCAAAATAACTTCAGTTTTCATTACGAAATGAGCACTTTTTCTCCTGGGAATGTCCCAGATCTACAGTTTAGGTCAACTTTGAAACAAAAAACTATGAAACATATTCGAGTCGCAGGACTGTGGTTTTGGCAACCGTTTCTGCCTCTGGAAATGGAAAAAAATCATGAAAATTAAGTAATTTAATCCTGGAATGCTAGGGATATTTTCCTGGAAATCGAATGAAAGCTGATGTAGGGCCATGTAGTCATACTACCTCCTCTACTGGAATATTTTATGCTTAAAAATGCAGGACTATTTTAATCCACTGAGTTGGCCGCCCGTTTCAAGATTGTCCTCTACTTTTATGATTGTGTATGCTGGAGGACGTTTTATTGAAAATGCATTTTTGCAAACGGACTTATAAATTTACGTAGTCTTCATAAGGAGGATTTACTGGAGGCCCAGTTGTAGGTTAGCGAACCTGTACGTATAAATACGTCCGAACTGTTCAACCTCTAAAATTTCCCTGCACAAAATTCCGATGTATGAACGTTCAGCTTCATTAAGGGAAAGACAGGCGAACACACTTGAGCTCCCAATTGGTAACGAAGTTTCTAAGGAGAGCATCGATACAGAATGAAAATTTGAAAAAGGGGGCTGTTGGCAGGAGTACAGATTAAAAGCCAGTAGCCGGCGGCCCTTCGAAACTAGAGTAAACATAAACGTCTACTTATTTATTATGAGTAATATAATTACACGTAATTAGTGTCTACTTGGCATGCAGCTAGGCCGTGAGTATCGTGATGTATGTCCAGTTTGCTCTAAAAGGAATCCAAATAAGTCGAAAGAACAGCATTCTTCAACGCTTCTGATAAGCGCTTGCATGCAACGATCAATGCTTTGCCTAGGTGTAATAAAAAAGCTCGGGCATATCTAACCCAGTCTTTTGCCTATTTTAGTTCAACACGCTATCAACCGCCCGAAGTTCTACTCTGAGCTGCTCTTCAAATCCATGGACGGAAGCGGCACTCGGGACTTCCTTCTCATGCGCATTATGATCCTCAGATCCGAAGTAAGATCGCATTTTAGGACGACTTTTCTTGTAGCTGTCGCTGTGACCGTTTTTACTACTAGTTGAGATCCCTTCATAATACGCATCTCTTTTTTTTCAGATCGATCTTGGGAACATCAAGGAGCAATTTGATTACGACCACAAGTCCCTGGAGGAGTGGATTAAGGGTGACACAAGCGGATACTACGAGAGGCTGCTTCTCACCATTCTGGGTGTAGCGAAAAATTAGGAATTTTCTGTTCTTTATGCTAAATTTATGGAGAATAATCAAAAAATCGGTTCAATTTGAAAGTAAAAGCTGTTTTTGGAATGCCACCCCTTGGGCGCGAGATTATCTTCAGGGACTGAGGGATGGAGAAAAAGGAAATCTCTATTATTTTGAAAGCAACAAAAGCCTTCACCCATTCACGTGGGAAGAACACAAATGATGGGACAAGTGGGTTATGGTAACCGCTTGAGTCTCCGTTTCTGCACTTTGGTCTCCCGGTATGTAAGATACCGTACCAAACGTGGCGATATAGAGCTTTTATATGCCGATGTACGGCAAGGAATATGTTGAAAGCCAATGAGCACTGGAGGGAGGGGCGTCTGAGAAATTAAGTCAGGGCAACATGGGATAAGCAAAATAATTGCCAAAAGAAAAGAATATGCGTTTGCAGCAAGCAGTTCAGAAGAAGAAGATGCGAACAATAGGATGAGCTTTATTTTTCAGACTTTTCAGATTCCGCAGGGAAACCTTAATCATAGGTAATGGTAGGTTACTCTGAGTCATGCGCAGATAAGGGTGAAATATTCACAGGTTGCACGATTTTATAGTCGTTAACGGTCATCCGCGTTCGTACTATAATTATCCACTCCTGTAGCCACCGCTTCGTTCTTAATTAGTGCGGTGATGGCTTGACATTTCGGGTTCGGCATATTAATGGCCGCGATTTCCTTGTCTGTATCGGATGCGGGCTTGGTAATTGCGCGACAGTTATACTCGCTGTCATCAGAGCGTTGTTGTTGCTGGACCCGGCCCTTCCCACGTGACTGATTTTCTTGCTCAGGAAATTTCTCAGTACACAGTACGTGAACGCCAAATCGTTGCGCTTGTTGATGAACTGGGGGCCTGGGAACCATGACTCGAGCAGCTCGCAGCTCACGCGGTTGTCACCTCTTGCGAGAATTTTGGTGTCGTCAAACTTAAAAATATGGCCGGGTCCCGTCGAGTGAGCTGCAACCTGAGAGTTGGCGTCTT